AAACTGATGATGGTGGAAAACACCGAAACGTATTTTAATTGATAAATAGACAATAAATGACTGAAGCCCAGGAATTGATTTTGATTTGGAATTGTCTTGAATGTTAAACCAATAAGAAATATTGAAAAGGCTACTCTGTGAGAAACTCACCTGATGTTGATTTTTACACTAACAAGAAATCACACTGATAATTGCTGCTCTAATGCGAATTTGAACTAATAGTACTGCCCGTGATTTCACCCTTATTTATTGACAGATTCCCACCCCCAGGTTGCGTGGAGTTTGAGTCCAATTTACCCCAGATTCTTCGCGTAGGGAGGAGCTTGCAATAAGCTCAAGCCCTGCGTTCTACGAATTTGAGAAAGTTCTCGTTGGGCGGTTGAACGACGCACTTGAATAGGATGATCGCAATTTGGGTCAGCTTTTGTACATAAAAATCTTCCGGCATCATAACCTACCGCTACTGTATATGTCCACCTTTATCTGCACGGCTTCTATGCCCACTTAGGTGGTCGTTTAGAATTTACTGGTTTCGTTATTTACTCACGTCTTACACTTGCTACTATATGCTTCCTCAAACAATTTGTTTCTACCTGAAGGATCAACAAGAATCCCGAAAATTCAAGCGCTGCTCCAGGGCATGTTCGAAGGAAAGGAGCTGAATAAGTCGATCAATCCAGACGAAGCCGTAGCGTACGGAGCGGCTGTTCAAGCTGCCATATTGGCTGGCGATACTCATGGCACAGTCAAAGATCTTCTTCTACTTGGTAAACATATAATATTGGCGCTCCTGCTTTTCTGAGTTGCTTCTTTTAATTGAAGATGTTACACCCTTGTCGTTGGGGATTGAAACCGCCGGAGGTGTGATGACTGTGCTTATAAAGAGAAACACTACGATACCGGTCAAACATACTCAAACATTTTCCACGTATGCGAATAATCAACCAGGAGTGCTCATTCAGGTGTTTGAAGGCGAGCGTGGTATGACCAAAGACAACAACTTGCTAGGAAGTTTTGACTTGAATGGTATACCACCAGCTCCTAGGGGCATTCCCCAAATTGAAGTAAGTGAAGAGCAAAACGGTATCATGCATTATGCCGATGCAACTTAGAGTATCTTGTATATGCAGGAAATCGCTTATTCGCAATGCCAACAGTCGATTAAAAATCGTCAGCTTTGCAGATATGTAGAGAGGACAGATAGTCTTCTGAACAACAACAACCTCTTTTTCGCATTTATTCATCTAAGTTTTCAGGTTACATTCGATATAGATGCAAATGGAATTCTAACGGTAAACGCAAAAGAACATGCAACGGGCAAAGAAAGCAATATAACGATCACAAATGACAAAGGTCGATTGAGCAAGCAACAAATCGAAAATATGGTCAATGAGGCCGAAAAATTTAAAGAACAAGATCGAGAAGTGCGAGCAGCGGTGGCCGCTAGAAACGAATTGGAATCCTACATTTACCAGATGAGATCTTTGTTGAATGATTCGATGGTCTCGAACAAAATTGGTGCATCAGAGAAAACTGAAATTGCAAAAGTGTGTAATGAGGTGGATGACTGGCTGCGGAGCAATTCTAAGGCTTCTGAGCGCGAGTATGCAGAGAAAAGAGACGAAATTGAAAGAATTTGCAAACCGGTTATAACGAGAATATATTCAGGACAACCTGTGCCACAGAGGGAATTTCCTGCAAATTCAAACGACGAAGGTCCTATTATTGAAGAAGCGGATTGAAAATTAAAATGTATTAATTCCGCAACGTTGTTAAACGGAGACCATTTTTACATATGAAATTCAATAAAAGCTGGGTTGAAATCGACTTAAACTGATTTAGCGCCATTGTAGAACAAACGGTTATTTTGGTCTGGTTTGGATTGAATTGAAGCAGGGCGAGTCTCTAGGGATCTATCCAGAAAAGTATGTAATCTATACTGCTTTTTTAAATCCAATTTTGCTCAGACGAAGCCAACGGATATTCCGCAGAGCATGCGAGCTCGCGTTTGAAAACGTTTCATATATCTGGGTGGAGGCAAAGAAGATAAAACGATTTTACTTCGTTACATCGGCTCGTTTATTTCGTTATATTGAAGGGATATTGTTTTAGGCGTGTTCAAAGAAATATAATAAACTTATAAACTGTAAACAATAATATCAATCAATATTGTTCCATTGTGTGGATCCGGCAGTCTACAGGGTTAAGTGTTAAGATTTGGGTGAATTTTACTAAATTTTAAAATTGCCTGCCTTTTAAATCGCCCCTACTGTCTCCTAATCGGCACATTGACACTTGATTTACTGAGCGAAAAATGCAACTTCCCACGCTGACTTTGCACTCAAAATAAGAACTTTTATGTCACGCCTTCAATTGCTTTGATTTTCAAAACTGGTTCAACTATGTGACCCAACTTATTTTATTTATCAACTTGAAGACTTAATTTTTTTGCAAACTTCTTTTTGGGTATTTCGCCTCAAAAATGTTTGTCTTTAAAAAAGACAGAATTTCCTCACGTCTTTTATTACAGATTGATAAATAGTGCA